AAAAATAAGTCATTTGAGCCTCATGCATCATCAGGTTTTCTTGCTCTCTGTCTCTGCTACCCCCTTACTGTGCCAGTCTGGAAAGCTGATCAACTCCTGCCTTATTTGTAAAGCTCGTTGAGTTCCGTGACTGGGAAGTGCTGCAGACATGCTAAGTGGCATTGCTGCTGCAGCAACCAGACACACCTTCGTTGTCATCAAACTCGATGTCAAGTGGTGTCTAAGGATCTCTACGATGGAAAAGCTTTGCTACTACCCTGAGTTGTGCTTCAGTGAACATTCACAGTGCAAACATGTTCCCAGTGTCTTGGGTGTGATTACAGCTGCAGTGGGGACCTCACAGCTCCAAACCTGCTGCCAGCACAGCGAATGCTTGACCTCCTGTGAAGAGCTGGAAACTCAATCCATCTCAACAGGCTTCATGTAGCAGCCCACAAGACGGAGCTGCAGAAGCAGCTGCACTTGTGCTTTAATACTCTTTTGGGGTCTGTTTCTCAGCAAAGCTAAGACCCATAGGCATTGTCAGACAAAATACTTTTCTAGAAAGGACGCAAGTTCAGCTCTGGGAGCCCAGAATAAAAAGACATGGACCTGTTCAAGCAGGTCTGGAGGAGGGCCACAAAGATGATGCTCAGCTGTCTGAAGCACCTCCTTTATGAAGACAGAGAGAGTTGGGGTTGTTCAGCCCAGAGAGGATAAGTCTCCAGTGAGATCTTATTGTGGCCTTCCTCACAATTTGAGCCTGGATGAGGCTTTGAGCAATGTGGTCTAGTGGGAGGTGTCTCTGTCAATGGCAGGGAGGTTGGAACTATAGATCTTTAAGGTCCCTTCCAACCCAAACCATTCTATGATTCTAAGTTCTCCAACAGAAGGAAACTTGATTGCCTTTGAGAGCAGGCAGTGAAATCTGGGGCTGTGGGGCTTCAAAACACAGCCCTTCCTTTCACTGTCCCCTCTCAGGTCAAGACCTGCCATACAACATGACTTAATTAATTTCTCATCAAATGCAGAAGTTCCCTTACCCATGCTCCTGCTGGTTTTACAGTTGAGTGTAATATCATACCTTTTTTCCATCCTTTTTTATGAATTTTGTAAATAATTTCAGAAAAGGAACAGATAACAAGGGACACAGACTAATGACATGTACAAAAGAGCCTTCATTTCTGAGGGTGAGCTGCTGCAGGGCAGGGCCAGAGCATGAAGAGGACAGTGGCAGATATGGAGACAGGGTGGTTGAAGCCTCCTGGAGCCAGTGGCACTTTGGTCATGGTTTTCTTCAAACATGCAGCCTACAGTATGTTGCCGGCCCTCACTTCTGCACTGGCATAACGGTGTAGTACAGCTGGGACTCTCCAAAGCAATTGCAAGTCTTCAAACACCTTTTCTTCTTTCCTGTATTTTTTTTTTTTTTCAGAAACAGAAGAGTAGAATTCCTTGAGGCTCATAGTGAGGAGATGATAAAAGTGAGGCTGAAGGCCTTTAGCTCCAGCAGATCGTTAATAGTCTGTTAAGCACTCTACTGCAAAGTCAGCAGTGCTGCTTCTTAGAGAGCACAGAGTCTGCAAAAGTACAGTCTGTTTAGTGGAGGAGCACCCCAATGACTTGTCAGGTGCTTCAAAGGCAAGCAAGGATTCTCCCCTGGTTTAGACAGGAGTAGGAGGGAAGAGGTACAATACAACAGAGAACGTAATCCCCTGGAAACTGTTTGTGCACTGCACATCTGGTGTTTCTCTGTAGGCTTTTACTGAAGAAGACAAACTAGTATTCTGGGAGGGCAGATGCTACTGACTCACTCTGCTGCAGATAACAGTGGAAGGCAGTATCTCATGGTGGACAGACAAGTACCACCTGATGAATAATCTTTCTGATTTTCCTTCAAGAAGTCAGTTCCTCCAAGTAAATAAAACCCGTAATTTTCCTTTTAGGTCATGAGGAATATGTATTTCCCTGGATCATTAATTTCATTTCTTCTTTGAATGCTATTCAAAAAATCTGGCATCGTGTGTAGCTAGGTAGAGCTCACCTTGCCCTGCTCCTCGGGAAATAGATGCTGCCCTTGTAATATCCATGGAAACAGCAAGCATTTGCTTTTTGGGACATATTCTTTATTATACATGCATGTGTTGTACCACATTGTTTCTTTGCAAACTCTGTCTCTGAGTGAGGAGCAGAGAGATATTGTCTCATGTTGAACACTGACCTTATCTCAGCAAATCTTGGGATATATTGACATTACTATTGTGGTGAGTTGACTTTGGCTGGATGCCAGATACCCACCCAGCTGCTTTCTCACTACCCCTCCTCAACAGTTCAGGGAAGAAAATAAGATGAAAAAGGTCATAAGTAGAGATGAGGACAAGATCCTGTCTTCAATCAATGCCTTTGATACCAATTGCTATCACAAGCAAAACAGACTCAACCTGGAGAAATTTATTGAAAATATTTCCGATTAAAATAGAGTTGAATGGTAAGGAACAAAGACAAAACAAACAAACAGCTTCCACCCCCTTTTTTTCCAGGCTCAACCTCACTTCTGCCTTCCCAACTCCTCTACCTCCTCCATGCTACGTTCCCCTTGAACAGTGCAGGGGTGGTAGTGGGTGGGGGCTGCAGTCAGTCCATAGCAGCACCTCTCTGCCACCTCCTTCTCACTCTTTTCCCTGCTCCATGGAAACCATGGGACTCATGGGCTGCTAAACCTGCTCCTCTGTGGGTTTCTATCCAGGGGCCACAGCTTCTGCCAGGAGCATACTCCTGCGAGGGCTTTCCATGGGCAGAAGTTTCCTTCAGGGAATGTCCAGCTGCTCCAGCTGGGGATCCTCCACAGGCTGCATTGTGGATATCTGCCTCACTGTGGTTTTCTCCACAAGCTGCAGGGAAATACTTCCTTCACAGCAAGTACTGCATGGCTGGCTGATGCCAGGCACTGGACAGTTCTGATTCAGGGGACCTGATGAGGCCATGTTTGTCAGGTTTCCCACTCACTCATTGCTGTCATTAGCAGACCTCTTACACTCTGTTTTAGACAGTAAAACTGTTTGTGGCACTTCACCTTCAATACCTAGAAAAGTTTTTTAACTTTCTTTTTTTTTTTTATGAGATGTTCTGTAGCTCCCCTGAACACCTTTCTTCAGTGCAGGAATTGCTTCCATTCAGCCAGATTTGTGAGTTCAAATATTCTCCATGTAATACATTTCACAACAGAGAGTAAGAGGTTTCCTTTAAAGAGCATTTGAATGGCAGTTCTCTTCAAATAATAGCTATAATTACTTCTTCAAAGTTTTTCTACAATTGAAACTTATAAACAAATAGCTGAGGAAAGAAGAAATTTTCAGCAAAAGGGGCTACCCAAACTGACTGAGTGAGCTCATATCTGAGATCACTTCAGGAGTGACTTCAGGGATATGATGCTAACAGACTGAGGCAGGGGCACATGCTGTAACATCCTCCAGGACCTGGTAGACATGTCCTCATGTACAGTTGTGGAGAACACTGGGCCAGGCTGAGCCAGATTTTCTGGTGATGTGTCTTTACTGAAGTCAGCAGTGTTTCTTCAGCAGACAGTGCAGCACATAATCTTAAATGTCTGTTACATGCATGAAAAATCCATAGTTTGTATATAAAGTAATGGCCTGATATGTTGAAGATTTGTTATATGCACAGCAGTGTAATGGTGACAAATGCTTCAGATTTTTCTGTTCCTATATAGAGTGCAGTACACTTTTGTTTTAAGTTTTAATGTGGCTTATTGTTTGAACGAAGGTCAAATGTGTTTGTAGAAGTTCACGTATACTGCAGATATGCACCTTAAAATTTATTTTAATGCAAGCAGCCTTAAAGACACAGCAAAAATTAAAGCTGTTTTGTCAGACCCAAAAGGTACATTCTTCCTTTATCAGAAAAGAGGATTTTCTTTTCTGATCTGCACTTTTTTTTTTTCCTAGAGGATTTTCAGTAAGAAAGGAAAAAATAATACCTGTTCTTTACTTGCACACATTTAAGAAGACTACATCTTAAAAATACTGGAGACTTGGACATGCAAATTATTAAAATAATGTTATCATTTTCCTGCAGGCAGTACCTAAATAGTACTGTATTTGATCTTTTAAAAATAATAGAAATAAAAATTATGGCCTTTTTTCCCTGAAATTCTGTGTTTCTTGTCACTATCTCCATTCATTTTTTTTCAAACAAAAGGTTCATCCTTCTGCAAATGTTCAAGACCATTTGTACTGTAATCTTTTCCTCCTCTTAGGCTTTCTAATCAATAGATAAAGAAGACACTCCAACTTTGCCATTTTCATATGTTAAGAAAAGATTTTTTTCCTTATATGTGCAGAGAGCCTGGGATGTCATTATTTCCTAGATGGCAAATGCAGAAGGAAACCAAACCCATTAGAGGTCTTGAAATAGGTCAATATAAACTGGAAACCTTGGCAACCTAAGATTCAGTATGAGACTATGATTGAAGTGGGTGCAAGTGTTGAAGCAGAATATTTTTTGTTTGTTTTCATCTTACTATTCAAATGACTAAGTGTGGTCTGAGGGTCTGTTTGTGGGAAATTCCTCTTGGGTAGGAGAATTTGGTGCCTTGCACCACTGAGCTCTACTGTTCCCCTTTAGTCTGATAACCAGCAACTCCCCCAAGTGTTAGAGTGAGTGTGTAGGGTGGCTCCTGCAGCAGCTACAAAGCCAAAACCAACTCATCCACCCAGATATTTAGAAATTATATCCACCTAGATATTTATAAATTTAAAATTGCAGCCAGATACCTTTATGGAGCTAGACCCAAAGCAGGTGTCAAATTCCTGTGGAGTCAAACAGCTGCCAAGACTTAAACGTAACCATTTGTATTGGAGAAAGTCCATGTAACCTAGCCCAAGCTGCAATAAGAATATTTCTTTGTAGATTATAATTGCTGATACAAGCTCAGTCTGTATGCCACAGTTCACATACATTTTTTATGAACTTATAATTAGAGCAATCTTGGTGTCCTGCAGGTTCCAGCTTTGGAAATGAAGACCAAACCACTCCTAAGGCATCTGCACCTTCTAAGGATGTCCCCAAGGGGAGCAGCAAGAGCACGACACAGATATCGAGCAGCACAGCAACTCCACGCAGGAGTTTACTTCCAGCACCAAAAACTGCTACAGCACCTGCTGGTAAGTGCCCCAAACCTGGAACACCACCTGCATTAGGCCAAGAAATGCAGCAACCTTATTATGATGCTATTTTACTGCTAGCTCAATTAAATTTCATGCCATCCTTGGGCACATTGCCAATGTGCTGACACTCTATTTATTTTAATCTCTTCGAAACACAGTCAACAACATCTATAATCTCATTTTGTGAACCATGTCTGGAGCTGAAGACGTTAGTGTCCCTAATTACAAATGCCAGAGATTTAGTGTGTGTCTCATTGGTTCTCACCAAGCAGGTTTTTGAAAACATTGCATTGCTTCAGAGACCAAATCGTTCTCTTGAGCTAGCTATGCTTGCAAGGATGACAATACTGCCCACTAAGTTTAAGCAGTTTGTGATGTTTTCACTCAGAGAAGGAGAAGCAAGCATGTACATAAAGAAAAAAAAAAAACCTCCAATCCTTGTCCTCTTTCCAAATTGTTTCCTTACCTAAGCCCTCTTCCAGCTCCATCCAGCTATGTCTCAAATCAGCCAGCAATAATTCATAGCATCTCACAGAGGAAAGTTTAGAGTCTTCTGCCAAGTGCATTTTTTGTTGGAAAAGTGTCTCTCTCCACTGTTTCCTGCTTGTGTTTGTTTCATGCTGCTCCTTCCCTAGCCTGGCACTTGAACATGGTGTATGAACTCCAGGTTCCCCTTGGCAAGGATGTAGTGGTGTATCTTCTTGAGTAGGACTAGCAGCTTTTCAGCAAGTAAGGAGCAATTCATGCTGCCTAGTGTTGGCCCATCTGCCTGCCCAGGCAGTGGGGAGGTGTGAGGGTACCCAGGACAGTGAACATCCATCACACACCGAGTGCTGGCAGTGTAGAGACTCAAGCTGGGATGTAATGGATGAGTTAGGGCTGTTCGTTGTGACTTGTGAGCAGGGTTAATATGACTATTGGTGATAATTAGAATATGAATTTCAATACGTGGCTGTAGATGCCCTCCCCTTTGGTTACAGATGACATCAACTCAGCTCAGGCAGCTTCAAGCACTTTCCTACCTACGGACAATGTTCCCCTATCCTGTTCCAGCTCCTCTTTGTCCAATTGTCTTTCTGTCTGTTGTGGCCCCACCACTTACCTTTCTGCATTGCCACAGTCTGGATGCCCATCAGCCAAGATCTTAGAGTCCCCTGAGGAGCCTCATTAAAGGCATTAAGTTTCCTCAGGGCCCAAGAGGTACTGCTGTAATCACAGCAAGCTCCTGCACACCACAGTCTCTTAAATAAGTCTCTCTCTACATGTTCATTACTGTCCCTCGTGCCCCGGGAGATCCTCCAAGCACCTCAAGGGCAAGAAACATTAGTAATCATTTAAAAACAACAGTCAGTTTTAAAGCTAAAATTGGAGGAACTTACTGGTGAGAAGCCTGTGCCTGAAGTGGTCATTGAACGCTTGCGTGTAGCCCCAAGGTCAATATTGCATCTTGTAGTGTGGAGGCAAAGGAGGACTATGGTTTCAAATTTTATTTTCCTGGAAAGCACTTCATGTATCACCAAAGCAATGAGATACATGAGGTGTAGCATAGTATTTCAGTGAGTGAAACATGCTCCACTGTGTTTGTATGGTGCTAGTGAAATATGAATTTGGCTTAAACAGCATCTGGATTTGTTCCACAGATGATCTGACACAAAATTACTCCCTACAGCCAGCATGTTTTTCAGAAAGCTTTTCTGTTGCTACTAGTAAGCCGGAATCTTGGAGCTGCAAGAATCTGTGTGTGCCTGAATCTTTCTTTACCTCTGCAGTTTTCATGTTTCTAATTCTTTTTTTTCCTCCTTATATAAACAAGCCCTAATTCCTCTTTCATTAATCTTCCCTTGCTTTTCCACTGTCTTACTGTTTTCCCATTTCTATTGTCCCCTCTCTTCTAGGATTCTCCTTTAGGTTTGATTTTTAATTTTTAAGTGCTTTTCTACTTCTATCCCTAAAATATTGTAGCTTTGTATCCTCCTGTTCAGAGAGAACATTATGCAGAAAAACAAATCAGACTTTTCCTACACAGCGTTTTCCTTTAGAGAGACAGTTTGGAGAGGCCACTTCATAGTCTTGAGTAAAGGGCTGTGTATGTCTGTACAGAATAGTAAGGATTAAAAGAAGAGACAGCTCCAACAAGAGTACAGAAATTCCATCAAATTCAGATTAGATCTAACAGTCTAGATTCCAAACAAAGAATTTTGCTACAGTCATCAGCCTTATTCAGTCTGGTTCTTGTTCAACAGAGTGTTTCATCTCTACTTAAGTCCCACAGGGCTTGATAGCACATACTGCAAATGAAGCTGAGAAGGAAAAATCACTACAAAATACAAGAGAAAGACTTTATGCATTACTAGTTCTGGCCACCCAGTTTCCAGGTAGATAACCTGGTGTGCTGGGCTGACCTTGGCTGGACCCCAGGTGTCCACCAGAACCTCTCTATCGCTCCCCAGCTGGACATGGGGAGAAAAATATGACAAAAGGCTCAGGGATTGAGGTAAGGACAGGGAGAGATCACTCACTCACCAATTACCATGGCAGGCAAAATAGACTCAATTCAGGGAAATTAATTTAATTTAATGCAAATGAAATCAGAGTAGGGTATTGAGAAATAAAACCAAATCCTAGAGGACTTTCCCCCGACACCTCCCTTCTTCCTGGGCTCAACTTCACTCCCTGTTCTCTACCCCCTCCCCCTGGGGGCACGGGGGAGTGGGGAATAGGCATTGTGGCCAGTTCATCCCATGTTGTCCTTGGTGCACTGTCCTCTTCACTCTCTTCCATGCTCCAGTGTGGGGTCTCACCCACCGAAGATGGTCCTCCATGAACTTCTCCAACTTCAGTTCTCTCCATGGGGTCACAAGTTCTGCCAGCAAACCTGCTGCAGTGTGGGCTTTTCTTTCCATGGTCCACAGGTCCTGCCAGGAGCCTGCTCCTGCACAAGCCTCAGCATGGGATCTTGCACAGACTGCAGGTGGATATCTGCTCCTCTGTTAACCTCCATGGTCTGCAGCACGGCAGCCTGTCTCACCATGGTCTTCACCACAGGCTGCAGGGGCATCGCTGCTCCAGCACTGTTTCTCTCACATATTTCAACCCCTCTCTCCCAGCTACTGCTGCACAGCAGTTTTTCCCCTTCTTAAATAAGTTATCAGAGAGGTGCTACCACTGTCACTGATGGGTTTGGCCATGGCTAGCAGCAGGCCCATCTTGTAGCCAGCTGGCATGGGCTCTGTTGGACATGGGGGAAAGCTTCTGTCATCTTCTCTCAGAAGCCACCCCACTGCCAAAACCTTGCCACACAAACCAAATACACCTGGTTAACAACGTTTGCAGAAAAAGACTTACTGTTACCATCAGTGAGTTAGAAAATCAGGTGGGGAAAATGAAGCCAGAATTGTTCACTTTATGTAGTCCAGCAGTGTGAAAGTCAGGGGAGGAGGATATGTAGAGGACAGGAGCGACTGTCTCTTACTTTCAGAACACTGTTTACTTCCATCATCTGCACTCACTATCTGAGGAATGGACCAATCTATGAATAGCAGATATGGATAAAAGGTGGTACAATATTTTTGTTTCCGTTTCAAGTTTCCTTCTTTTTGATTTTCCTTTTCTTTTGAGCTTCCTTTCCTTTCTTCTTGTCACTAGTTTAGTTATGTCATTTCAGGCTACAGCAGTATTTGATTAGTATCAGATCTGCCCCTAGACATCTCCACCAAAAGCCTTTCTTTTCCAGCTAGTGTCATTGGTGTGATAAGCTTTAAAGGACTATTTCAAGTTTCTGTAGAGGAGCTTTTCTGGCCTCCAGGCTTCTTTTGTCACAGGCAAGAAGACCTTTGTCTTTTACTACTTGTGCAGCCTCACATGACTGAATCTTTGCCAGGGGTGTTTCAGTACTGGGGCACTGCAATGAGCTGGAACCATGGTGTTTGATATGCAATCATGCTAACATGGACATGCAAAATCTAGCATAGACAAGATTAATGGAGTGGTTCAGGCTCTCTCTTCTGAGTTGGCACAGGTTCCAAATCTCAGACTCCAAATGCAAAACAATATTGATCAAGCAGTAGGTTTCCAGAGAGAGTGTTTGCCATCACATCAGGGCATAAACACTGAAGAGAAAAAGAATTTCTGAAGCTGGTGGAAAACTAGTTTTAATTTGGGGTTTTAATCTGTGAAATGAAAACTGGTTTTTGCTGGAATTTACTATCTCTGGAGAGTTAGCAAACCTGAAAAATAAAAGGCCATACAGAATTTGGATAGTTATGAGAAGTTCTTCAATTTTCTTCCTTCCAAATAACCTTCATTTGCTCATTGTCCTGAGGTTGTCAGTAGATGTTTTCTGTGTCATCACTTAGCTTTTGTGTAGTTTCCTTCAGAGCATTTGTTACTGTCCTTATATGACCTTCCAATAACCATGTCTGCTTCTATGGGCACACACAAAAGGACGCTTTTTGGCTGTGCTCCAGGAAGGCCAAAAGTGAACTTGATCTTAAAGGTCTTCTCCAGCTGAAATGATTCTTTGATTCTATATACGTGTGCAGTGTTCAGGCTTGCACTGGAGAGCAGTCAGTTTAGTTCTTCCCATTGCAAGGCCATTAGTCTGACTCTACTCACATTTCCTGAACTTTGTCACAGCTGAGAAGCTGTCAGTGTGCAGAACAGGAGGCAATTCAGCAGCCCACCATGGCCTTGCCATGCCAGGGGTGTGATGGGAATGGCCCACACGCTTGCTTATGCAAGCTGCAATAGTAGACATCTCAGAGAGATGCTGCCAGAATGTGTTAGATCCATCACAAATAGGAAAGAGTTGAAATTACTCTCTCCCACTCCGGGGGTCAGGGGCTCCAGTCACCCACCCAGCCTTCTCCTAGCAAGGCTGTTTGTACCAGCAAAGACTGGATGGTACAGAGCCCATTTCCACCACCTCACTGAATTTATAGCCTGGTGTTTATGGGGAGGCTCAGTCAGGTGCGGTAAAACTTACCTGTTTTATTCTG